CATGTATAGATGTGAGAATTGGACCATAAAGAAGGCTGAACACTGAAGAACTGATGCCTTTGAGCTGTGGTGTTGGAGAAGGCTCTTGACAGTTCCTTGAACCGCAAGGAGACCAAACCAGTCAATCCTAAAGAAAAGCAATCCTTAATATTCACTGGAAGGACTGATGCTGAAGTTGAAGCTCCAATACTTGGGCCACCTGATGCAAAGAGCTGACTCATTAGAAAAGACCTGATGCTGGGAAAGACTGAAGGCAGGAGGAGAAGGGGATGACAGAGTACAAGATGGTTGAATGGCATCACTGAATCAAAGGACATGAGTTTGATCAAGCTCTGGGAGACGGTGATGGATAGGGAAGCCTAGTGTGCTGCAGTTTATTCTGTCAAAAAGAGTCAGACACAACTGAGTGACTGAAAAACAAGTAAAAAATGTTGCCTATAGCCTGAAATATACAGGATCACCCATTCTCAAGCCTCTGCCCTTCAAAGGTATAATACTTTTTCATTCATATGGAGATAAAAAGTTTCAGAAGAGAAAACAGCATTTGTCTTTTGGAGGGTTTACAGGAACACTATGACCAGACCTACCTGGACAGCAGCAAGAACAAAGGGTTCCCACACAAAGAGGTCTGCAGCGACCAACCACACACCTTTTCCTTTTAGCATAAAAGAAGCCTGACTTCTACCTTGGGTAAGATTGTTCTTTGGGACACTAGTCCACCATCTTCTGGGTCTACTGGCTTTCAAAATGAAAATTCTACTCCTAACCCCAGTACCTTGATTTATTGGCCTTTTATGTGGTGAGCATTATGAGCTTGGGCTCGGTAAGACACATACTCTTAGTGGCTGTATTAACAGCCTTATGAATAAAGACCCTTCTCTCTTTGACTTGCCTCTCCTAGCTACTCATTGCTGCTAATATAACAGATATTTAATACATTCTTTTTGAAGAAAGTCCCTCTGGATTCTGGTTGCAACATGCTGCCACAACTGTCTTACAAATTCAGTTATTTTCTACTTGATCTGCTTTGATTCCTCAGCAGTGTCCATCAGAGCTGACCATTCTATTTCTTGAAAGGTGGACTTAGCTTCCTAACACAATGCCCTTCTGATTTTTTCTCTATCTCTCTGGTTACTTCTCAGCTGCAGAGGTGGTTCTTTTATCAAACCATTAAACATTCTTTCTCCGAGGTGTCTTCTCCTCTCTGAAGCTCTTTTCCTATCTTACTCTTTGCAGGTTAATCAATCTGTGCTTTTTATAATCCCATTCTAATAGAGGTATAAAAGTAAATTCATTCTGTTTAATGAATGGAAAAACATATTTTAATGAGCATAGTTCCTATAGTAATATTGAACAAGGAGGGAAACAAGAGAAGAGCAAACCACTGGACGATTTTTGAAAAAAAAAAAAATCTTAAGCAGATATATAGCATTAAAAGGACATTTCCTGAATAAGTTTTATAAAGACAGGGTTATGTGGAGGGCAAGGAAACTTAAGGGTTATCTTGTCCTGTAAAATGTAACACAGTGATTCTCATAATGTTAGTGAATATAAAATCATCTGTGTTTGTATGATATGGCTTTAATACATTAAAGACAGCACTGTGCATTTACCAATGCAAAAGTTGTAACAGCCTCCCTCAGGCAAAAGTGCTTAAGTGTCTGATAATGTCTAGTGACTTGCTTAAAAGAGGATAAAACAACACACCCTCAGGCAGGCAAGAGGATTTAAATAGAGCCAATTTAGGAAGCATAGTGCTTTAGCAAATTCAGAAATTAATCCAGATTAAGACATTTTGCTTTTAGGATCTATTTCAAAAGACCAATTCTACAACTGTAACTTAGAAGTGAGAGCAGGGGAAGGAGTGAAAACATATATGCTATAAAAGTATATAAAAGTGTATAAAAGTATACCTTCAAAACCTATAGAGCAAAATCATCAACATGAATTATCTCAAAATGATAGAAATATAGCTTCACTTTTAATGAACAAATCCATTGTGAATGGGGAGGATTGTAATTTATACTAAGATAAAGAATTTAGAAATGTAGATAATACCTCTGCACATGTCTTTTGCATAATACAATTTAGAGAAAACTGTTCAAGGAATTATCTAATCTGTACGTTTCATCCATAAAACTGACACATTTTGTCTATGTGCATGAAGTAAGTTATGGATCAAAGGTACCAAGTCTCTAAAGCAAACTTAAGAATTTAATTGAAATTTTATTGCTACATATACGTATCCTATCTTATCTAGGTGAAACTAGAAGTGATCTTTTTACAGTTCAAATTGTGTCCTGAGAGCTAAACTTTCACATCTGAGCTCAACAAACTCCCAAAGACAAATCCATAAGATGATATAAGTGAGGCACATTAAATCAGTGATTCCATGTATAAAAACCGACCACTCTGCATGAGAAAGGATCCATTTCACTCACTGTTATACCTGAAATTTATTCTGTTCATGTAGCATGGACACACAGTGTCTACAGTTAGTGATTTCTTAGTAACCCACCGTTGGGTTTTGTTTTAAATACTTCTAGTGACAAAGATCTTCACTTCTTGTATAAGCATCTCTTTGTGACTTTCATGACCAACTTAAAAATTCATTGGAAATCATCACATGCTCTTACCTTGCTTCCATTTTCTCTGGCTTCTCGTTCCATCTTGAGGTCGGAAATCAGAAGGTTCTTGTACTTGCTTTTTCCATTAGTGCTCTGGGCGTCTATTCTGTACTCCGAAGTCAGCTGCGCGGACAGGGGGCTGTCACTCAGGTTCAGGGGCTGCTCATCCTGCTCCAGCCCAGCTTTGCCGTCACAGTTGGAGTCGCCCAGCTCCCTGCTGTGTGTTCCCCCCGAAGCAACTGAACTGTGCCCCAGAGTCTCGTTGCCATTGAAGCTCTCTGTGGCAGAATCATCTGGTGGAAAGGAAAAATTTATATTTCGATTTTTAAGTGACGCGCTGATAAGTTTCTACTTCAACAAACATTTGTTGAGCTCCTATTCTGGGCTTGGCCTGGTACTAACTAGTTTTATATAAGATGGACAGTTTAACTTGTGAAGTAGCCTGTATCATTTTTAACTTAGTAGGCACACGAAGTGAAGTGTAAAATAAATAGAAGATAAAATAATCTGAAGACAAAATAAACCATTCAATTGCAAATGGAATCTCAAAGAAAAGTAAATTAAAAAAAAAAAGAATTGCCAATTATTTCACAAGTAGTTTTTGTATTTTTCAGTGAGAGTATCCAGATTCGGTGAAAACTCTCTGATGAGAGCATTGTCCACCCTGCTAGTGGGTTATATACTAGTACCAGCTTTATGGGTGTTTAATATGCATCTGAAACATCAAAAATACTCAGAAACTTTGCTCAGCGATTACAAAGGCTTTAAAGCCTAAGGGGTTTAATCATTGCTTGCATCTCTCCACAGATAAAAAGAGACTGAAATCAGTGTTGCTTATATCAATAATACAAAATTTTAGAAATGATACAGATTATAAAAAATAGAAACTTGGCTTAATATGGGCTTAATATATGTTGGAACATTTAGAATATTATGGAATTAGTCAATATCCCATTTTAAATATACAGGAAAATGTGAGTCAAGAGGTACAAAATGGAAAAAGCTAGTTACAGAAAGCTGTGGTCAATATGACCCCAATTTTGTGAAAAGAAAACAGATAAATACAAGAACAAAAAGACTGAAAAGTTGTAGTCTAAAACGTTAATGCTGATATTGTCTTAACAGTATGACACTGGATTTTCTAACATATTCTCTATTATCTACTCTATATAGAATTCATAATGTACTGTAAGGTATATCATTTATAACATATAATACATAATTTTCTAATAACAAAAATGGAATAATTATAGAAGAAACAGGGAAGGAGAAGAAGCAGAACTAAGAAAACTTTTCTGGCTTTAAAATACAGAAGAAAATTGGTTAGAAGAAAATAATATCAATGACAATGTATTGAGAGCAAAGAAAAATAAAGGTTACCTAAACAGTAAAATTCTGTTTCTCTTAATTTATTCTTTATATCCATAGTAAGAATTTGCTATTCATTTTAAAGGCTTATGACTGAGAAAGGTATTGAACTGCTTTCTTTAGGGCAGAGTCACTGATGAAACCATGTAAATATCTGTGACTTTGTGTCAATTTTTTGATTTCTGATATTCTCAAGTTTGCTTTCCTTTTGTAGGGTGCAATGAAGTATTTGATGTCTTCTAATCAATTGAAATCATGGAAATAATGTTTACATTCTGAAGGAGTGGTATAACTCACCTGTTAGTTTATTTATTCAACAAACATTTACTGAGTGCCTATTTTTGGCCAAAAGCAGGTAAAATATTTGGCCAATAGAGAATCTGGTGCCTTCAATGAGTTCACAGATACTTTAGTAACAGAAAAATAAAGATGAAGCTAAAATACAGAGCAAAACAAGGAACAAGGGATCCAGAACAAGGGATCAAGATATCCAGAAGGTTTTCTAGAGAAGGTGGAATTGGAGTTGAATCCCACAGCTTTAATCAGGTGAAGAAGTTGGGGAAGAGCCTTCCCCACCTAGAAATTGTCAGTGCAAAGTCACAGAGGAAAGAATATGCAGGCCCATGAGAAATAAGAAAAATACAGAGCTAAGTGCCAAAGAGACGCTGATGAAAAGGAAACCTAAAAAGGGAGGAAACAAAGTGTTTTGTGCATCAAAGAACTTGGATTTTATCTTGAGAGCAAACAGAAGTAATTTTAAAACTGTGGGAAGTGATGTAAAAAAAAAATGTTTTAAAGAGATAACTCTGTCTTTGATGAGGAGAATAGTGTGAAGGCAACAATCTGGAAGTCGGGGGGACCCTTAGGAGATGTAGACGTCATCTAAGTCAGCTTGTTGGAAGCTCAACAAACTCTAAGTAAAACAGCAGCAGTGCAGAGTAAGAGGGGGTGACTAAAAATATTTTAGAATAGAAAAGATATGTAAAACAAACATACAGGGATCAAAGCGGAAACACTGGAGGGAGGGATAAATCAGGAGCTTGGGATTAACATACATACACTACTATATACAATGAATGGATAACCAACAAGGCCCTATTACACAGCAAAGGGGAACTCTACTCAATATTCTATAATAACCTAAATGGGAAAAATATTCGAAAAAATGAACATATGTGTATATATAATTGAATCACTCTGATGTATACCTGAAATTAATGCATACTTGAAAATCAACTATATTTCAATAAAAATTTTTAAAAAAGAAGAGGTAAGATTGGTAATGGTTGGACACAGGGCTCGGAAAAAGTCTAGGTTTCTTACTCTAGTAAAAAATGAAAACAAAGGGCATTCAGTTTAATTTTTAAGAAAATAGTATTTTTTAAGCAATTCTCTGGACATATTTTGTCAGAAAATGGAAATGAGTTTGCAGAGCAAGAAATTACTCTTGTCTATGTACCCATTCAAGAAAAGACCTCATTTGGTGAGAAAACAAGAGAATTTAGGAAACTGGCCATTTAAGTAATATATATAGCGGTTTCCACAGCTATCAATTTGAGAAACCGATAACATTCTTTTAACAATGAACTATCTAAGGTTTAAGAAACAAAATTAGGGGAATAACTTATGTAAGTAATTTGGAATTTTAAGGATGCCTTCTATGCTAAGTCATATGGCTATGCTAAAGTATGAAAAGTTATCTCATTTTATTTATTTCTAAGAAATCCAAAGAAAAGTATAATGGACTGATTCAAGTCCAATTACTTGATTCATGGAGAAAATTGTGACTTTACATTTGTGTACTTGAATCCCTTCGAAAACAAGAAATATTTTATGTAAGAAATTATCATTACATTAAAAATATATAACCTCAAAGACATATTTAAAAACTAAATCTACATTCACATAGAACAAATCCAATGTCAATTATAGTCAAACATGCTATATCTGCAATTTTAATCTGATATCATCATACATATTAATAAAGAATATATCAATATTCATTTTTCAGATAAGAGAAGGGTTAGCATTTATCAAGAGAATCTTTAATAAAAGTCATGTATTTATAATTTCAGTATAAAGGATAAACAATAAAGAAAGAAAATATTTTTAGAGAGAGTGGTTCACTCCAGATGTTACCAAGGTAACTAAATTCAACAGCTTTACATATTTCAGTTCCTCAGTAAATCATATGTTTCATGAAGGACAAATTACTTACTCGTTTGTATCAAAAACATATTCACATATTTTATCTTGTAAATGGTAAAAGAATCGATTTCATATGCCACTGTTTCAGAAATCAAAATTTAAAACAAAGTTTTTGATGTCTATATTAGAAAAATTTAATATAAAGAAGTGAGCAGACATTAAACTGAGGATTCATTAACCATTTTTTATTACCTACTTTCATAAAACCACGTTCATCGTTTTCATTCTCTCTTCCTTAAAGATAATTTTTTCAAAATTATAGACCACAAATCTGAGACTCCTGTTAATTGTAACAATTCACATCAGATCACTGCTTTACAAGGGAAACCTGCTTTCTTACCCAGCAGAGTTTGCTCCATCCTGAGTGGCTGCAGGCATGTGGGTACCAGGCTGCTAGACACAGAGTGTAAGGTTTAGATCTGTAGTTATGATCATTATGTTCACAGGCCCAGAATGATGGTGCACCTCTCAAATTTCAGTCTGGGTACCACTGCACTGGAACCAAAAACTGTGTATTTAAGTCCCAAAGAAAAACAGCACCTGGAGCTTTGGAAATTAAGAGTGGCCAGGGTGCCTAGCAACAAAGGAGAATGTGGAATATGATGACAGGTAATGTGGAATCTAGTGACATCAGAAGGGCAGTTGGATATTTGAGTTGCATTTGCGCTGAGGTTAGTTTCGATGGGATGGATTTAGTACTTTGAAAGAGGCTATCCACTTGAGCTTGGCTGTGGCTCTTGTCTATATAACACTAACATGGGTAGCAGGCTATTTCCTTCTTTCTCCTTCCCCACTCCTCATTTTCTCCACAAGTTAGTACGGATGCTAGAAATATTGTTTAAATTATTTCTAACATCTCCACCAGAATTTTGTGTGAAGTAAGTTCATCAACACCAGTCAATAGTTTTCCCTATATAAAATGGATTAACCTATAACAGTATGTGTGATATATGGCTGTGGGTATATTTAAATATATCTATATATACACATATATGTATATCTATTTTTTACATATATAAATATTAATAATATATATAAATATTTAAAAACTAAATCTACATTCACATAGAACAAATCCAATGTCAATTATAGTCAAACATGCTATATCTGCAATTTTAATCTGATATCATCATACATATTAATAAAGAATATATCAATATTCATTTTTCAGATAAGAGAAGGGTTAGCATTTATCAAGAGAATCTTTAATAAAAGTCATGTATTTATAATTTCAGTATAAAGGATAAACAATAAAGAAAGAAAATATTTTTAGAGAGAGTGGTTCACTCCAGATGTTACCAAGGTAACTAAATTCAACAGCTTTACATATTTCAGTTCCTCAGTAAATCATATGTTTCATGAAGGACAAATTACTTACTCGTTTGTATCAAAAACATATTCACATATTTTATCTTGTAAATGGTAAAAGAATCGATTTCATATGCCACTGTTTCAGAAATCAAAATTTAAAACAAAGTTTTTGATGTCTATATTAGAAAAATTTAATATAAAGAAGTGAGCAGACATTAAACTGAGGATTCATTAACCATTTTTTATTACCTACTTTCATAAAACCACGTTCATCGTTTTCATTCTCTCTTCCTTAAAGATAATTTTTTCAAAATTATAGACCACAAATCTGAGACTCCTGTTAATTGTAACAATTCACATCAGATCACTGCTTTACAAGGGAAACCTGCTTTCTTACCCAGCAGAGTTTGCTCCATCCTGAGTGGCTGCAGGCATGTGGGTACCAGGCTGCTAGACACAGAGTGTAAGGTTTAGATCTGTAGTTATGATCATTACGTTCACAGGCCCAGAATGATGGTGCACCTCTCAAATTTCAGTCTGGGTGCCACTGCACTGGAACCAAAAACTGTGTATTTAAGTCCCAAAGAAAAACAGCACCTGGAGCTTTGGAAATTAAGAGTGGCCAGGGTGCCTAGCAACAAAGGAGAATGTGGAATATGATGACAGGTAATGTGGAATCTAGTGACATCAGAAGGGCAGTTGGATATTTGAGTTGCATTTGCGCTGAGGTTAGTTTCGATGGGATGGATTTAGTACTTTGAAAGAGGCTATCCACTTGAGCTTGGCTGTGGCTCTTGTCTATATAACACTAACATGGGTAGCAGGCTATTTCCTTCTTTCTCCTTCCCCACTCCTCATTTTCTCCACAAGTTAGTACAGATGCTAGAAATATTGTTTAAATTATTTCTAACATCTCCACCAGAATTTTGTGTGAAGTAAGTTCATCAACACCAGTCAATAGTTTTCCCTATATAAAATGGATTAACCTATAACAGTATGTGTGATATATGGCTGTGGGTATATTTAAATATATCTATATATACACATATATGTATATCTATTTTTTACATATATAAATATTAATAATATATATACGTGTTTGAAATCTCCCAAAGCACCTGACCTACTTTCTTACTCACTTTTAGTAGCTCTTCATTATGGCCTTTAGGCCAAGTGCCTTGGGCAAAATGAATAGGAAAAATATATATCATCCTCATTTTAATTTTAATACTTGGAAATTTAGTCCTAAAATGCAGGTCAGATGCTCATAGGGTCCAAAAAAATTTTAATGTTTGCCTCCAAATGCAATATAGTCTCCTATCTCTAGTCCTCTGACTACATTTTGAAATCAAAACATTCAGACGAAGAAGTTTACTGATGCAGATAAATTCATATGTGTGTTACATATGCATGCATAACTACTACTGAAAGGTTAAAGGACACTGATTCTAAAATGATCAAACTGATATTGGGAGTAAGAAAATAACAAGGAGATTCAATTTTCAAGTAAATTAATTCTACAGAAGGGTGTTATCCCAGTCTGGGAGCTCCAAATTCAGACCATGTCATTGCAAGGACAGGCTCTAATTACAGGAGCAAGCTAGAGAAAGCACCAAAATAAGCTATGTGTTCCAAAGGATATCACTAACCTCAGCACAATAATTAAAGAAAACTAATTCAGAGCCACCAATGAGGAGATAATAATATGCATTTCCTATAGCACTTTGTTTACAAAGTTTAACTTAACCAAATACCTATTATGTGTTAGACAGTCTTTCTGGGATTTTGAGTCCAGAGAGACTCCATGTAGAATTTGCTCTTAACTTGACTATAACAAAAGAATTACAACATAAGTCAGAAAACAGTATTTGTCCCACATAAGTTTCATACAAGGCACAATTAGTAAACAAGGTTTTCAGAGAGAGAAAAGTTGCTTATACATCATGGGGGATGAGGATGGTATCAGTTACAAGAGGTGCAATCTGAAGGAGGTGAGATACACATAGATACATATTGGTGGTGGTGTAGGTTATTCTAGTTCAGAGAGCATATGAGAAAAAGAAATACAGGCAGGAAAGAGCTAGAAGAGGACAGAGAACTGAGTACATTCTACATTTCTACATGCTAAGACAGGGAACTGTATGTTTCAGCAAGTTGTAGATATTTTATTGTATATTCCTTTATTGGATCACATAAAACTACTGATGGTTCTCCCAGGGTAGGTACTTGGAGAAGCCAACTGATTATGTGAGTTTAGTCTGTTAAAAGTCTATCTCTGCCCCTACCTTAGAGTCACTGTCAACTGATCAATAAAACTTTCTACCAATTCTAAGAGGACCCATTTAAAAAAATGGTCATTCATGACTTATCAATGGTTTCTTATCTAAGTTATTGTAAGCTATGACTTTCATACTCACACATTAGCTTGTTTAGGGTTTAAAAAAAAACCAAACATTCTACAGAAAATGATATGCATTAACATTTTTTATAATCACAATGTAATTTGAAAATATCTGATTCATTTTGCTGATGGATACTGTGAATTTTTACTGTGAATACTGTGTTTTACTGATTATATTCACAGCACAATAAAATGCTAAATTTCAGCTAGAGATAAGTGAAAATTACATATGCATGGATATATGCATATACATAAATACATGTGTGTGTTTGTCTGTGTGTGTAATAGTGCTTTATACAAACTTGATGTCATCTATAACGTGATGTAACATACAAGAGAATGCAAGCAGCATTAAGGGGTAGGGTGGACAACTGATGAGAAAACAGGAATTTCAGCCCCACAACCATAAGGAACTAACCTCTGCCTACTACTTGAATAAACTCTGAAATACATTCTTTACCAGAATTTCCAGATAAGAGTTTAGACAGGCTGACCCCTTGATTTTAGCCTGTGTGATACCCTGAGATTAAACCCTAGTTGAACTTGCTTCAACTTTTGACCTATAGAGCTGATGAGCTCTTGGCAATTTATTACACAGCCAGATTATTACACAACAGAAAATGAATACAGTGACAAACATAAAGGAATGTCTATGGTACATTAGGATAGGTAATACCACTCAAAATTATTCAAGTATACTGAATGATTGGTGTGGATCAGTGTTTCTCAAACTTTAATTGCTCCAGAATCTCCTGGGTAGATAGTTAACAATACAGATTCACTTGGGCAGTAAAAACTTCTAACTCAATAAAAATCAGAAACGCTGGTTTCTTTTATCTTGGTCAGGGGCAGGAGATCAAGAAGCAATTCTCTTACAAGAGTTCTGGGGCCATTAATTAATGCAGATCATCCCCCACAACTAACTGCTTGAATATGGAATTGTGGGTGGTAACTGTTGATAACAAGAGAACTGAATATGAATGACAGCCCCCAAATCTGAGCTAAGACAGAATCTAAGCATATTTTAATGTCATTTAACAAATCTCTAGGAAATTTTCAGAAAAAGAGACCAGTCAAATATCCTTTCCCTTATCAAAACTAATCAAAACTTCACACACACACAAAAATAAATAAATAAAACAGAGCCAGTTGGCTTCACTTTTTAAAAGACTCCTAGAAGGATATGTTTTTTCCCGAAGAGCTTATATTAATATATACTGAATAGCCAAAGATGTTATTTTTGGGGAAAGGATCACTTTGCTTACCTTAACAAACTCTTAGGCAAGAAGGGCTTTACTAAGGTCAAGAGTACATTTGCAAAATCAAGAAATTTTATTCTGACCATAAACCAGAGCTGTGTACCAACTACATGTTCACATGTGTTCAAATTATTGTCTGATTTTGCTTACAAGGTAGGCAAAGAGTACTGTCCTGGAAAAATTGTCAAATTCTTCCAATTTTGTTCCCGGAGTCCCTCGTGTTCTTTTCCCTGTGCTCAGGACAACTCCTCAAGCTATCTGTGTGCAAACGGGCTCTCCAAGTCATTTTACTGAGAAATAGATTGACAGATTGATTATCCCTTGACTGAAATTCCCACACAGGAAAATGCTACTTCAGCTAGACACTTGTAATTGAAACCTTTTATCTCTAATTGTGGAATAAAAGGCTTTTCTCTTGGTATTTTTAGGCATTAGCAAGCAGGTGAAGAAGTGTATTGTTGTTTTGAAAGTGTGTGTAGAGGAAGAAATCCTACAATTATCTAGACCTAATTCATTCCCAGGTTCTCAGAGTAACTTGGAGGCGAATGATTACAGTCTGATCTGTGAGGTTTTCTTTTAATCCTGCTGCTCTCAACAATG